CCTCCCAGGTTCAAGCAATTCTCTTGCCTCAGCCTCCTGAGTAGCTGGGATTACAGGCATGCAACACCACGCCTGGCTAATTTTTTGTAATTTTAGTAGAAATGGGGTTTCATCATGTTAGCCAGGCTGGTCTCAAACTCCTGACCTCAGGTGATCCACCTGCCTTAGCCTCCCAAAGTGCTGGTATTACAGGTGTGAGCCACCACGCCTGGCCCCAAAACAGTATTTTAAGACCCAAGTGGTTTGCTTCAGGATTTCCCTTTATTTAAAGCTGATTCTTTGCTTAAAGGGATAACTCATTTTTTTATTTCATAGTTGTCTTAATTCTATATTCTGTTTTCTCATTAATTCATTCATTCATTCCTGATCCTGCATGACATATTTCTTTTTGCCAGATCACTGTAATGAAGCATTAGGACTTTGATCATCATTTGTAAAAATATGCTCAAGCCGTACTTTTTTCACAGTGTGTTCTATAATAATGTCTAAATTGGGCCAGGCATGGTGGCTCACACCTGTAATCCCAGCACTTTGGAGGCCAAGGCGGTCAAATCACAAGGTCAGGAGTTTGAGACCAGCCTGACCAACATGATGAAACCCTGTCTCTACTAAAAATACAAAAATTAGCCGGGCATGGTGGCACACCCCTGTAATCTTGGCTACTCAGGAGGCTGAGGCAGGAGAATTGCTTGAATCCAGGAGGTGGAGGTTGCAGTGAGCTGAGACTGCGCCACTGCACTACAGCCTGGGCAACAGAGCGAGACTCCATCTCAAACAAACTCTAAATTACATTTTCCTTGAACATTTGAAAAAAAAATACTTTGTTAATAATTTGTATTTCCCATAGTTTCTTCTTATTCTTGGTGCTCCAAATGCTCCTGCCATGAATCTTTCAAAGATTCATGTATCTTTGAAAGATACATTTATCTTGTCATCTATATTGTCATAGATTTTTACAGAGTTGGTCAACAGTTGCTTAGAGGTTGGGAGGCAGAAGGGTTTAATACCTTTCCTCACCCACCATAAGGGTCAAGGCTGACAGTCCTATAGGAAAAGGCAGGTTAATAAGAGAAAGTCATAGCAGGTTTATTTAGTCAAAGATTTATAGGAGACTTCAGAAATGAAGAACCAAACACCCAGGAAAAACTGCTTGTTTTTATGCTTATGAAGCATGGACAGCCATGTAGAAATGTGATTGGAGAAGGGAATGAGCTAATAGTAACAGAGTGGAGAGACCCTGCAAGGCCTGTTTGTTCGGATTCTTCTTGGCCTTTGTGGCATTCCTTTTTCCAGGGTACAGGACGGGGCCCCTCTGACCTCCTATCCAACAAGGATAGATCAGAGAATTTCTTTATGGCCACCTCCTAGGTTGAAAGGCTGGGGAAGTTTAGAGTAATATTTTTAGGTTTTATGGCTTACTTTGGGGAAAAGGGTTCTAGTTTCTCTGACCCACCTAGGGGAAGAGGAATCCTGGTTTCTGTGACTCACCTGGGGAGAATAAAGGGTAAGAGATAGGAAGGCAGGAAAAGGTCAGAGACCTTGGTTTTGAGGCTGATTCTGAGGCCTTCCAATGTCCTAGTTCAAAGTACTCAGCATGCCAAAGTGCCATACTTTGGGGAATCGTTTTCTGAGCCCCAACAGGGCCATCTATACAACTCCTTCATTTTAAAGAGAAGGGAACAGAGATACAATTGATTTAAGTGGTTTGCCCCACATCTTAGAAATAGTTGATAGAACTGGAAGTAAAACCTAAGTCATCTGAACCACAATCTATAATTCTTTCCTGAGCCTTTGGTGTAAAGTGGCTTAACTGTTACTAGGATAGGGAAACAGATAGGAAGGTGCCATCAAGCATCAGTTGTATGATTAGCATAAGTGACCCATTAGCTCTTTTTCAGTCTGGATAGTATGTGTTTCTATAAAATATTCTGCCAAGGGATTATGAAATACTTAGCAACCCCATCGTTTTCCCTGAAGCATAAAAAAGTCATTGAATATTCCTACTATTTAAACCCACAGTCCTAAATACTCTATCTTCATGGGAAGAAGCTGCCTAAGGAGACTGTAATATAATACTGCCATCTAGCATCAAAAATTTTAAATTACATTAAAATGTTAGATGCTTACTACTGGAGGGAAAAGCATCTTCCTATAATGTACAATAGTGAATTCCCACAGAAGAGTAACAAATGTAAACAGAAGATAAATATTTATATATAATGTTTGATAACATATTCACAATTTGAAAAAATGCCAAAATAATCATAGAAACACAAGCTAAAATGAAATTGGGAAGTATATGTCTCTATTTTGTTCTTTTTCAAAATTGCATTTGAGTGTTCTGGGTTCCTCCAATTCTCATACAAATATTGGAATCATCAATTTATTTTTGTTCTTGTTGTTGAGACAGGGTCTCTGTCACCCAGACTGGAGTGCAGTAGTGCCATCTCGGCTCACTGCAGCCTTGACCTCCAGGGTTCAAGCGACTGTCCCACCTCAGCCCTCCAAGTAGCTGGGACAACAGGTGTGCACCACCACTCCTGGCTAATTTTTGTATTTTTAGTAGAGGTGGGGTTTCACCATGCTGCCCAGGCTGGTCTCTAACTACTAAGCTTGAGCAATCTGCCTGCGGTGGCCTCCCGAAGTGCTGAGATTGCAGGCGTCAGCCACCCTGCCAGGCCCCATCTGATTGGTTTCTGCAAAAAATAAAAAGCCAGCTTGTATTTTGATATGAATTACATTGAATCTGTAGGCAATTTGGGAAATGTTGCTATTTTAATAATACTAAGTCTTCTGATCTATGAACATGGATGTCTGTTTATTTAGATCTTTAATGTCTTTCAATAATGTCATATGGTTTTCAGAGTAAAGGTTTTTCACTTTCATTCGATATATTCCTAAGTATTCTGTTCTTTTTGATGGTAACATCAATGGAGTTATTTTCTAGTTCATTTATTAATTGTTATTAATTGTTCTTGTATAGCAATACGTTTGATTATTAATTGTTCTTATATAGAAATACATTTGATTTTTATATATTGTTCTTGTACCTTGCTGAACTCATTTATTCTATTTTTTTAGTAAATTCCTTGGGATATTGTATATACAATATAACGTCATCTACAAATAGTTTTACTTCTTCCTTCCAACGTGAATGCCTTTTATTTCTTTTTCTTGCCTAATTTCCATGGATAGAACCTCTGGTACAATGTTGGATAGAAATGGCAAGAGTGGACGTCCTGGCTGGACACAGTGGCTTGTGCCTGTAATTCCAGCACTTTAGGAGGACAAGGCAGGTGAATCAGGTCTCGAACTCCTGAGGTCAGGAGTTTGAGACCAGCCTGGCCAACATGGTGAAACCCTGTCTCCACTAAAAATACAAATTAGCTGGGTGTGGTGGCGGGTGCCTGTAATCCCAGCTCCTCAGGAGGCTGAGGCAGGAGAATCACTTGAACCCGGGAAGCAGAGGTTGCAGTGAGCCAAGGTCACACCATTGCACTCTAGCCTAGACAAGAGCAGGATTCTGTCAAAAAAAAAAAAAAAAAAAAAAAGTAAACATCCTTGTCTTGTCTTGATCCTAGGAAAAAAAAATTAATTTTTCACTATTAAGTATGATATTAGCTATAGGTTTTTCTTGTTCATTTTTGAGACTGGGCCTTCTCTGTTGCTCAGGCTGGAGTGCAGTGGTGTAAACACACTCCCTGCAATCTCTGCCTCCCAGGCTCAAGCAGATCCTCCTACCTCAGCCTCCAGAGAAGTTGGGACTACAGGCATGTGCCACTACATTCGGCTTATTTTTAAATTTCTTTTGCAGAGACAAGGTCTCACTCTATTTCCCAGGCTGGTCTTGAACTCCTGGGCTCAAGTGATACTCTCACCATGGCCTCCCAAAGTGTTGGGATTGTAGGCATGAGCCACTGTACCCTGACAGCTATGGTTTTTCATAGATGCCCTTTATCAGCTTGAGGAAGTTCTCTTTTCTTAGTTGGTTGAATGGATTGGTTTTTGTCAAATGGTGTTTCTTTTTTCTTTTTTTTGTTGAAACTGAGTCTTGCTCTATTGTCCAGGCTGGAGTGCAGTGGCACCATCTCAGCTCACTGCAACCTCTGCCTCCTGAATTCAAGTGATTCCCCTACCTCGGCCTCCCAAGTAGCTAGGATTACAGGCACCCACCACCATGCCTGGCTAACTTTTTTTGTATTTTTAGTAGAGACAGGGTTTTGCCATCTTAGCCAGGCTGGTCTTTAACTCCTGACCTCAGGTGATCTGCCCTCCTCAGCCTCCCAAAGTCTGTGATTATGGCCGTGAGCCACCGCACCTGGCCAAATGGTGTTTGTCTATTGAGATGATCATGTGGTTTTAGTTCTTTGTTCTACTGGAATGGTGTAGGTGGTAAGCTGAATAATGCTCCCACCCACCAAATGATATCCATGTTCTAATGCCCAAAATATGAGTATGTTATGTTACATAAGGTTGCCAATGGAATTAAAGTTGCTAATCAGTTGATCTTAAAATGGGCAGATTATCCTGGATTATCTATCTAGACCCAATATAATGATAAGGGTCCTTAAAAGTAGAAGGAGAGAAAAGGACCATAGAGATGGCAGCTTGAGAAGGACTCTGCCCAATGTTGCTCACTTTAGAGAAGCAGGAAGGAATATAAGGAACGTGGTGGTCTCTAGAAGCTAGAAAAGTCAAGGAAGTAGATTCTCCTGTAGAGCCTCAAAAAAAAAAAAAAAAGATCAGACTTGCCTCTAAAAAGTAATGCAGACCTGCCCACACCTGATTTTAGCCCAATGAGACCCATTTTTTTCTAATTTTGACCTTCAAAAGTGTACAATAACAAATTTTTTGCTTTAAGCCACTAAGTTTGTGGTAATTGTTATAGCAGGAATAGAACATTAATACAGTATATCATACTAATTAATTTTCAGATGTTAAACTAACCTTGCATTCCTATGATAAATCTGTTGGTTATGGTATGTAATGCTTTCTTCTAGTGGCTGGATTTGGTGTGCTGGTGTTTTGTCAAGCATTTTTTAGTCTATATTAATAAAAGATCCTGGTCTGCAGTTTTATTTTTATGTGATGTCTTTGTCTGGCTTTAGTATCAGGGTAAAACTGATCTCACAGAAAGAATTGGAAAGTGTTCCCCCTTCTTCTATAGCCACTCCAGTTTTGTCATGGTTGCCATTTAAATGCTACGTCTTTGTCTGTTCTTTCACTTTCAACATAGTTTGAACCTATCTTTGATTTAGATTTCCTCTGCAATAACCAATAATATTTTTATGACCATGAATAAAACTGTATTTATCTTACTAGCTGCTTTTTTAAAAAACTGAATTATAAACCTTTGTTTTCCCAATGATAATTTCTCATTTCTAGACACACTCTGGTTCTTTTGCTGGCAATAAACCTTGGTATTTTTGCTTAATTTTGTTTAACTTAGAATAAAATTTGGTCACCATATATGTTGAGTCAATCTTTTTTTTTTTTTTTTCCTACTGGTCTGTGAAATCTGTAAGTCTAGGAACCACCAAATTACAGGATTTCCAAGACTGGGTTAGAGATACGTTGTACATAAAACATAGGTTGTATCTCTGGAAACAAGTTTGTTAAACTTATGAATAAACTAACAAAATTTTGTCAGTATTTTTGCTTTAATTCAGATTTTGTAAAGACATTCTAAAGCTGAGATGGGAACCATATCAAAATCACAACTGTACATTGTGAAAACTGAAAACCATCTATATGCCCAATAATATAGATTGGTTTAATTACAGTATATTTATATAATGGTTATCTATTTAAAATCCTGCTTTATAATAGTATTACACAGACATGGAAAGATGTTCAACTACAGGTAAACTTGTCACGTTCTGGTGACTGCTACCTCCTCTAACTCTGGGTGTGTTGCAGCTTCCCAAAGTGGTTTAACATCCCTACTGGCTTTCTTTAATCCTGCTCACTTTTTTGGTAAATATTCCCTTCATTAAATCCTGTTCAGCCACCTCACTTCAGTGAGTCATCTATTTCTGGCTAAGACCCTGAAAAAGGTTATTAACCATTAACACAGGTTAATGGTGAAAATACCATTACTCTGGTTGGTGAAATTATGATGAAATTACAGAGAAAACAACAAATACCTGGTTTTTTTTGTTTGTTTGTTTTTTAAACAAGTATTACCATGATAGGTGCACTATACCTAATAATAGTGATGGCTACCATTAACTAATTATTAGTGAGTTAGTTGTATACTGTGCTTTATAAATCACTTCCTTTAATCCTTTAAATTATTGTATAATAGTTAACATCACCTCCAGTTAGACATGAGGAAACATTAAACATTTTTTATTATTGTGGATTAATATAGTTTCATTGTTTTGTTTTATAGATCATTCACGAGAAGTGTTGGAACAATTAGTAGGCCCAAACAAACTAAAGCAGGTGACATGGACTGTTTATTGATGCTTTTTTGAAGATGATCAACGCTAGGAAAGCTTATCAAAACCACTTTTCCAGGAAACCATCTATAGAGATTTGCATTCTACTTAATTTAACAATAATTTTAATTATTTCCTTGTCCTTAAGTTATAACTCTCAAAGAATTAGTTAAGTCTTTGTATATACAAAGTTTGTGCTTTATTCTTAAACAGCTTAGTAGTGCTATTATTCAATATCTGTTGGATGAATCATTACTTTTAAAACCATAATCCTAGCATGAACTCTGATCTATTTTAGGGGGAGGGAGGGTGTTGGATTTTGTTTCTTAAATAACAAAGTTTAAAATTAACAGTTTTCCCTTGAGATTTCCTTCTCCTATGTAGGTATTTTAGCTATTGTTATAAGAGAAAATTTACCTGTATATATAAACCTTGGGAGAATCTAAGTAAAAGTATTTCTAAAAGCATAGTTTACCTTCCTGTTTTCTGGCTCTTACCTTTCTGGAGTATTTAAATGCTCATTTGCCAAAAGCAAACCTGAATATCAGGCCTGTTAATTCTTCAAGAAGAATTTAGGTATTTGTTTGCTGAAATGAAGTAACTTATTAGCCATTCAGCATATTAGTATTGCAGAGACTTTTGCCCAGCCACTTATTTCATTGATTTTTATGGCTACTCTTCCCAATTACATTTTATTCATCTGTAAGCTTTTCTTCCCTGGCAAAATTGCATTCAAAAATGTGTAAAAAAGAGTAAATACAGAATATCACTGCAGAGATTTGTATCCTCAGGTTCTACTGATTTCACATTGTGAAATAAACAGCAAAGGTCTTAGTTTTCAAGTGAAAACTCTTTGGTAATCACAAAATTACCTGACATATACTATGCTTAAACTAACCTCCAAGTTTAGCATATTCATTTTGCCATGAGCCTGTCTTGTTGGGATTTTCTTAAAAGATTTCTTATTTTGCCTCTGATGTAGTGAAAAACAGGGAAAGTAGGCTAACTTTCTTGTGTATGTTTGGGGAGTACTTATTCAACTCCATTTCTTATCCTTACTATTACTTTATAAATGTGATGTGTGTATAGTGTGGATATATATGTTGCCACTGCAAAGGTGGTACATATGTATATATGTGCAAAATGGGTAAGGCCTGTTCTATCAATGAAACTTTTCTAAATACAAATTCAATAAAATTTAATACTGAATATTTAACCAAGTCAATTGCATTTTCCCCTTTTTGTAGAAACTAGTTTCGACATCTAAGTTGTGAGCTTCTTTGGATTCACGAAGGATTTATCTTCCTAAAACGGTTTTTAGTTTGATCTTCTTCCTTTTTTATATTGCTAGTTGCATTAGCTATTTCTCACCACTCTGTTTAAAATATCTGTACCCCATTCAGTACCCAGTATTCCCTATCACCCTTACCTCTTTTTCTCCTTGCCACCTATCACCATCTGATGCCTGTTTTATTTGTTCCTTATGTCTCCCCACTCAAGAATATAAATTTCATAAGGACAAAATATTTACCTTGTTTTTTCATTGCTATATCCCCATATCTCCAGTGCCTAGAACAGTGCCTGGTAGATAATAAACACTCAACTATTCACTGAATAAGTAAATACAGAAAAATAAAGGAGGAAAGAAAGAAACACCCAGTAATACCCAGCCTGGCCAATGTTGCGAGACTCCATCTCTAGAAAACATAGAAAATTAAAAAACTAGCCAGCCATCATGGTGGTGCAGCTACTCAGGAGGCTGAGGAAGGAGGGTTACCTGAGTCTGGAAGATCAAGGCTGCAGTGAGCCATGGCCACATCACTGAACTCCAGTCTGGATGAGACAGCAAGACCCTGTCTAAAAACAAAAACGAAAAAACCAATAGCAACCAAAAAAAAAAAAAAAAACCATTTCCAGTCTCTAGTCTGATTTATATTTTCTAATATAAAGAAATTGGAGCCAGGCGTGGTGGCTCATGTCTGTAATCCCAGCACTTTGGGAGGCTGAGGTGGGTGGCTCACCTGATGTCAGGAGTTCAGGACCAACCTGGCCAACATGGTAAAACCCCATCTGTACTAAAAATACAAAAAATTAGCCAGGGTGGTGACACATGTCTGTAATCCCAGCTACTCAGGAGGCTGAGGCAGGAGAATCACTTGAACCCAGGAGGCAGAGGTTGCAGTGAGCCAACGTCACGCCATTGCACTTCATTCAGCCTGGGTGACAGAGTGAGACCCTCATCTCAAAAAAAAAAAAAAAAAGAAATTGGAAGTCTTCACTCCCATCCTCACAATAAGAAAAAAAGCTGAATAAACTGAAAAATCAGCAACACTTAGACCCATTAGAGAATTAAGGTTAAAGAGAAAATGCCTCACAAATTAGAAAGGCAAATACAAAAAACCACAGCTTACAGGGAGCAGAAGCCTGTTGCTGGAGCCGGTAACAGTAGGAACATTTATGCTGTAATTCCTGAGTTGCTGGAGGCTCCACATGGATGGACTTAAGAATCAAAAGCTCCAGCCCCGCGCAGTAGCTCATGCCTGTAATCCCAGCACTTTGGGAGACTCAGGTGGACCACCTGAGGTCAGTAGTTCGAAACCAGCCTGGCCAACATGGCAAAACCTTGTCTTTACTAAAAATGCAAAAATTAACTGGGCCTGGTGGCAGGTGCCTGTAATCCCAGTTACCTGGGAGGCTGAGGCAGGAGAACCACTTGAACCCAGGAGGCAAAGTTTGCAGTGAGCCAAGATCATGCCATTGTACTCCAGCCTGGATGACAAAAGTGAAACTTCATCTAAAAAAAAAAATAATAAAATAAAATAAGAATCAAAAGCTCCAGGAGTCTGTCCATAAATGTTATGTAACCATGTGTGGCAACCCTACAGTTACTCTGAACCTATTCTGCTTTTGGGAGCTGCCCAATTCACAGATTTTTCTTTGCTCAGTTAAACTTTGTTAAATTAAAACAAACAAACTCCAGGAGGCCCACTTTTAGGGGAGACACCGCACTTTTATAGTTTTGCCTCCAGAATACCTACCAGGTTCTCAGGTGAGGATCAGAGAAAAATCCCCTCTTACTTCTGGTACGAGGATGGGGAAAGTAACCATTTTGCAATATGCCCAAGTGTTCAATTCTCCTTAACAAAAGCCAGCTCTCAAGGGAAACTATTTTACCAGAACCCACCTGACCTACAGGAAAGGAAGTACCCAACTCCAGCTGCCTCTAGCCTTCCTGTCTCACCAAATGGACCAAAAAAAAAAAAAAAAAAAGCTGAAAGCATTTTTGAAGGTCATAGCAGGGGCACAGGCTGACTTAACTGACTGAGACTTAATCACAGGACTATAGAACATACCTTCTCCCATACCTTATTATATCAATTAGGCTACTGTATAATAACAGGGAATTACAGGTGAAAAAAACTACAAGCCTCAGACTCTACATAAGAAGGAATCTCTAGGGAAACTCAAAGATAACAGGGGAGATAATAGCAAGGACAATATAGCAAGGAAAATTTAGCCTGTAACACCTATACTACAAACAGTAGCCCTACCCAGATTTTAAAACCTAACATTACCTTAGTTTGGCTGTTTCTTTTATCCAATACATCATGTCCAGCTATCAACAAAAAATTACAAGTCATGCTAAAAGACAAAATGTCTGAAAAGACAAAATAAGGCCAGGCACGGTGGCTCACACCTGTAATCCTAGCACTTTGGGAAGCCGAGGTGGGTGGATCACCTGAGGTCAGGAGTTCAAGACCAGCCTGGCCATCATGGTGAAACCCTATCTTTAAAAAAAAAAAAAGACAAAACAAGCATTAGAACCAGACTCAGATATGGCAGAGATTTTAGAATTATCAGATCACAAATGTAAAATAACTGATTAACATGCAAAAGGCTCTAATGGGAAAAGCATACAACATGCAAGAATGATGGGTGACGTAAGCAGAGATAGAAGCTATAAGAAAAAATCAAAAGGAAGTGATAGAAATAAAAAACATTGTCAGGCCAGGTGTGGTGGTGCACACCTGTAATCCTAGCACTTTGGAAGGCCAAGGTGGGTGGATCACCTGAGGTCAGGAGTTCGAGAACAGCCTGGCCAACATGGTGAAACCTTGTCTCTCTCTCTCTCTCTCTCTTTTTTTTTTTT